ATAAATTCTTTTATTCACTAACAGTCCGTGGAAACGCAAAAAAATCCGTGAGACAGAAGACAATGGAAATAGTTTGAAATTTCACGAGTTTTATCACAATTTGTGATTATTTTGCACACAGTTATGCCTAGCATAGCTTAAAAGAGATCGCGAAACTCAACTATTGTAGTTTGTCCTCATAAAGAAGGATCCTACCTTTTTTTGCGTTTCTTCCCTTGCGTTATTCTTCTACTTTGTCACGCTATTTTAGGAGCCCACGATAGATATGGCACAACCTCTTTCCAGAAAACATTTAATCTTCGCAAGGTAATCAAACATAAAAAGTTTAACATGCGTCATCTGAAAAATGACATCGCCCTACTTCAATTGAGTGGGTCTGTTACTACAAGCGATGAGGTGAACGTCGTTTGTCTCCCAAAGCAAGGAAAGACAGMTGTAATTGGAAAGRACTGCTWCATCACAGGTTTGAAGAATACTTTTTTTTAAAGTGCATATGAACCATTTTAGAAAGTCATTTTTAACAGAAGGCAAATATGATGATAATCATTGTTTTAAGAAAAGAAAAGTTTTTGGAATTTTATTTTCTGAGTTAAAGGCGTTTGAAAATGGAAATTGTAATGATGTGACGTCAAGGGAGGCTTCATCAAATATATGAACTTTGAAAGAGTCGCTCAAAAGTGTTTTCAAGAACGCCATCTGGGAATATGATTATTCCCTACATAGCCCACGATAAATTTAGTGCCATGAAACCATTTATAAGCGACTCCTTCATTAGCATTTTCAATTTTCAAATGCCTTTAACTCAGAAAATAAAATTCAAAAGACTTTTTTCTTCTTCAAAACAATGATATTTCAGAGTTGGTGCGATATCGTAAGACATTACCGACTTAATAAATGTAAATGTAGATGGAGACTTCTAATAAATTTGTTATTTCACAGGCTGGGGTCGTACAATGGGTGGGGGAAGCTTAGCTGGTCCTCTTCAACAAGCAATTCTTCCTGTCGCCTCTCATAGCGATTGCAACAGTGTGAATGGACAGCTTCTTCCAGTCGACCAGAACTCCATGATCTGCGCTGGAGGAGAGGGCAAGGGTGGTTGTCAAGGAGACAGTGGAGGACCGTTCGTATGTAATGAGGGAGGTAGCTGGGTGTTGCGTGGTGCTGTAAGCTGGGGACATAGCATGTGCCGTACTGACTACTACACAGTGTTTGCACGTATCAGCAACTACATTGATTGGATTAACAGGGAGATTTCTCGTAAGATAAATTATTTGATACTGACGAAAAGGATATAAT